GACAGCCAATATCAGAACTGAGGAGTGCTGGTTCCCAGCTTCCCTTGAGGCTGCTGGGCTGCACTGCCTTTAAACAAAGCTTTCCATTTAATTTCCCCATTTTTTTAAGGAGGCAGGCAAACAAACAGCTCCTCTTTCCTGACTTCACGGCCCTGCCCCGGGGCGGGGGGACATTCTCCCTTTTGGAACTCAGCTGTCAGAGCCGCCCAGAACCCCTGCCAGAGCTGACAGCTTTGCGACCAGCTGGCCCAACATGGCATTTGTTACTTCTGAATCCTGTCGCCACATCTAGCCTGGAGACCCCTCAGCAGGGGCTAGCCACATGGAAAGTTCGTGTGTGAAGTCCAGCCAGTTCGGAGCTGTCCATGTGCAAAATCCATTTCACCCTGGAATAAGTCTCAACGCCAGACCAGTTCAGGCTTCCAAAAGGAAGTCACTGCGTGGGCTGAGACCAAACGTGGAAACCCTGAACGCCACTGGGGCACATGAAAACAAAGGGGTCTCTTGCAACCCATGTGTGATGCTGGCACCCGCGCCAGGATCCCCAATGAGAGCAGATGGGGCTGGGGGCGCTCGCTGCGTGCAGGAGGCCCATGAAGGGGCAGCTCTGGGCAGGGTCTCCCCTGTATTCCCTTTCTCTGCTTTCAGGGTGTTTACCTGCTCTGAAGACGAAGGAGGAAGGTGTCCTCTCCCAGATGCACCAGATCATCACTCACCTCAGGAAACAGGTATGGGATAGGGACACGGACTCAGGCCCTGCTGCCCCAGAGCCAGAGGAGACAGTCACGTGCCCCCTGCGGCTCAGGCCTATGGGGGGTGGGAGTTGGGGAAACCTGAGAGTGGAGTTGCTGATGGAAGTAACCGGGAGGGCTTGCTGCAGTGGGTGGGGAGCCGAGGCATGGGTGAGCAGGGAATCCCAGAGCCTGTAGGAAGCGACCCTTGGGGAGGGGGCTCAGCAGGGTCTGCAAAACCCAGCCAGTGGAAGCATTGTGTTACGCAGTTGCCACAAAGCCTTGCCCATGGACCGATTCAGAGACATCTGGCTGGTCTGGACTAGGAGAGGGGTGAGAACTGCCAAAGGCCCAAAGCCCAGCTCAGCTCCCCAGATCCTGACCCATCTCCCCCGAGCAGCACATCTGTAGTGGCCCTGTCACAAGAGGGTCCCTGTGTCGCCATGGAGGAGAGGGCAGAAGATGCAGGGGTCCCCGTCAGAGAAGCCCCTCTGTCCCTGTGTGCTAGTTTCACCCTTCGGAATTGCTCTGTGTCTGGAACTTGTGTCTGAGGACTCAGTTCTTCCCCTCCTGTCTTCCCTGCCCCCAAGTGCTGAGGCAAGTAGGGTGGTTTGCCTGGGGCTGGCTAGCTGTGGGGAGGAGCACAAGTGGCTCCTTTGAGGCCTGAGGGAAGTGTCAGTCTGGGGACTCGGGCGGCTCTCAGACGCCAGGGTGTGTGCCAGCCACGCCGCTATTCAGGCTGCTCCCGGCTCTGGTGGAAATAGGCCTGCCTGGTGCCAACTTTCCTTGGAAAGGCTGGAGCCGCTCCCTTTCGCCACTTGCACCCTCCATCCCAGGCTCTGCCTTGGCCCCAGCTTTCCTCTTCTGGGTCATGCGGCAGCGCAGGCGAGCACAGCCGCAGCCAGTGTGTTCTGAAAGGGAACAGGCTTCCGGCCAGGTTAAACACACCAGGCTGTGCTCGCTTCAGGGCTGGCCGGAGTCTCCCCTTGAAAGATGTAAGAGGGAGCAGGTGGCCTGTGCATTGGGCTCCTGTCCACGCACCTCCCCCCAGCCCGTCGATACTGCTTCCTGGGGCGTCTCTGGAAGTCCAGGCTAACGTGAACACGGTTCAGCTTTGGTAAAGCTGGGTCTCTAAAAGGACCACGTCTCCTTAAAGCAAACAGCCGGGCGGATGAGCTCTGACCCCATGCTCTTGGAGTCGGCCGCGCATCAGCGTGTGCATTTTAGGAAAAACCCAGGCATGGCACTTAGTGCCTGGAAAAGCGTCTGTCTGTGAAGGGAACTTGCCTGGGTCTAGTGTTTCCCCCCACCCACCCGGCCTCTAGTACCCAGACAGGGGCCGCGTAGCCATGTCTGTCTCTGCAGTTCATGGGGAGGGGGCTGGAGCACAGGATGAGCCCAATTGCCACTTCCAGCCCAGGCCTCACACTGTTCCCTTTACTCTGTAGAAATACAACGCTGACTACGATCTCTCTGCGAGACAAGGGGCAGATACACTCGCCTTTGTGTCTCTGCTAGAGGAGAAGCTGCTGCCCGTGTTGGTGAGTGCTCGCGTGGGCCAGTGGGAGTGTTCCCGGAACACTGCTGTGGGAGGAGCTAGTTCAGAATTCAGATGGATTCTGGGGACGGTCCCTCACAGTGAGTGACTGAGGCGTATTGGCAGATCCCAGAACCGCAGGGTGGAAGCTGGAGATTGGGATTATGGTGCAGTGACAGAGCTGAGTGAGGATCAGGGTTGGGGGGGTCTGGGGTAGCAGACTGTCTTGTAGGACACTGCAGAAAGCAGCCCTGCACTAGTTCTCGCGGATCACCACTGTCCTCGTGCCGTAGATTCACACGTTTTGGGTAGACGCAAAGAACTATGTGGAGCACACGCGGAAATGGTATGCGGAAGCCATCCCCTTCCCGCTCAACTTCTTCCTGCCCAATCGCATGCACAAGCAGCGTCTGGAGCGGCTGCAGCTGATCTGGGGGGAGAGCTGCTTGGCGGACGAGGAGGAGCTGGAGAAGGAAGTGAGTGGGCTGGAGGAATAGCTAAGCTCGGCTGTCATGTTGGTTCTGGGGGGAAGGATTCTGGTGACAGGGGCACTTTCCATTCTGCAGCTCTTGCAACCCTTGTGGCAGCTGGGAGGGCTGGCTGGAGCTCCTGGGAATCCATCACCCTGCCCCTAGATGGAAGCAACATGAGGGGTCACCCCGTCCCCAGCCGCTGGGCATGGCTCCTGGTTCCCGCTGGATTAGAACAAAGCCAGCTCCAAGGGGGCACTGAGTTTAACCCTTTCGTGCCCAGCCCCAGAATGCTCTGTGGTCGCTGGCTGTGATGCAGAAGCTGGCAAGGGCAGGTCAGCCAGTGGCTTTGCTCCCAGTAAGGATGACATTCGCTCTCTTTGCTGGCGTTCTTGGACTGGAGATAGCTCAGTCTTGGGACATGCCTCCTGCACCTCGTGTGCTGAGGTGATGTGACACCAGCGCTGCTTCTCTCCTGCTCCCGTAGATGTACCGCGAAGCCCGGGAGTGCCTGACGCTCCTGTCTCAGCGCCTTGGGGACCAGAAGTTCTTCTTTGGAGACTCGTAAGTGGCTCTTGGAGAAACGTTCTTTGTGGGGGGAAGCGAGGGCTCTTTCCTCACTTGCCCGCACGTGGCTCTCACGCCCCTGCCTGGCGCTCATGGCTGGGACCAGAACGTCGGAGCAGAGGGATTCTTGGTGTTAAGTCTCAGGTCTCCTTGCAGTTCCCCGGCGTGCTGCGACATGGGCCTCGGCAGCCCTTTGAAAGAGCTCTGGGTATTACAGAGAAACCTCGGAGGCAATTAAAGCGAAAGTGGGGCTGTGAGCTGGGCTGAATAGTGTCTCTCTAATGGAAGGCAGGGCCCCAGGGAGAGGGCAGTTCCTTGCGGCCCATTAGGCTCCATCCGTTCCCACTGCCGTCCCGACAGTTCCCCTTCCTCTCCCGTAAAACTGAGAGCCAGGACCAGATGTTCCAGCACTTCAGCCACGGCCTGCGTAGGAAGTTTTAGTCCATTAGACGGCTGCCTTGTTTGCTTCATGTTTAATGGGCTCATAATTTATGAAGCTATAAACGGTAATGGCTGAATATGCTGCTTATTCACTTCCAAAGAGCCAGCTGCGGTGAGCAGGAATCAGAGGAGACAGACACTTATTCAAGCGCTTGCTGAGAAGCCGCCTCCTGCCTTTGGTGACCCAGCACCTCTGGCATTCAGGCATCTCCAGGATTGCCTGCAAGAGGAGTTGTGAGCTCCAGCAGCCCTACCCAGCCCCCGGCAGTACCGTCTGCTGGGACAGGCCAAGATGAGCGTAGCTGGGCTCACCACCCACAGCCAGCACTCCTGCTCTGCTCCCTGCATGTTGGGACTGGAGTAGCAGGGAGAGGAGCAGCCAGGTAATTTGGTCATGCCCAGTGCACACAACAGTTGGACCCTAGTGACGGTGTGAATTTGAGCCAGCCTGTTCCTACAGCCTGGGGTCGTGTGTTCCCAGTGCTGAGGGTCCTGGGCCGCTGGCGCTAGCAGAGGCCAGGAGCCGCTAGCAAAGCTCTCTGTGCCGCAGCCCTGCTTCCCTGGACGCGTTCGTCTTCAGTCATCTGGCGCCTCTCCTGAAAGCCAAGCTGCCCAACGGGAAACTGCAGCAGCACCTGAAGTCTCTGCAGAACCTGTGTGACTTTTGCTCCTCCATCCTCAGCCTCTACTTCCCCTGGGACGGAGGTGAGCAGCCAGGCCTCCAGCCTCTCCTTCGGCGCTGGGAAGCTGGGGGTCAACTGGAATCACTGAAGCAAGGTCACAAAGATGGGGGAGGATGCGAACAGGCTTGAACCATGCCTCAGACCCCACTAGCCACAGGCTGAGGCTTGCTAGCCCACGGCAGATCAGGAGAAGTGGGGCAGTGCCTGGGGGGGGGGGGCCCGCCTCCCCGGGAGGGCTCCCCCCCTGGCGGCGGGGGGGGGGGGGGGGGCAGGACTGGACTTCCCACCAGGTGTAACACAGGGAGCGCTCTGTGTCGGCCATGGTGGGGGCGTCTCCTGACACCCTGCTGGCTGTAACTGGGGTCTAGTGAGGATGGGGAGCGCCCCTGTCCGGCTCTTGGAAAAGGAGGGGCAGCTTCCCACAGGCTCTCTCTTTAATCCCCCTGCTGCTTTCGGACCCCTGCCCCGACCATTCCCTGTTCACCCTGTTCCCCAGCAGCAGTGCCCCTCCCTCCCCTGAACAAGGGTAACATGGCTATACTCTTCCAGGCTGCCCCCGCTGTCTGCCCTCTGGGCTGGGGTGCGCTTCGCCAGCTGGGTCTGGGTTTCTGACATGTCGTTTCCTTGCAAGGGGAAGCCCCGTCCAGCGCCCCCAAGACGTCTGCCTCCGAAGGGACCGAGTCTGAGGAGGAGCCCTACAAATGGCGCAACCAGATCTTGTCGGTGCTGGTGGGACTGGCGGCGATGATTGGCTATGCCTTCCTCAGCGGGATCGTCTCCATCCAGCGGGGCCCTCCTGGGGCTGCTGGCCCCCGGCCAATAGCCATGGAGGAGGAGGAAGAGGAGGAGGAGTGAGGCGCTGGTCTCAGGGCTTTGGTTCTCACTCGTCTCAGTATCACTTGAACTGACTCTTTTTTTACAGTGCTGGGTACTGCCTAGTCTGATTCCTGCAAACTGCCTCTGTGTCCCGGCAGGACCCAGTGGCCCTGTTCAGTCCGGATCCCGGCGCTGCTACAAACACCAGCCCAGATTTCTAGACTGTGTCGCAAGCAGTCTGCCCCCCACTAATAAACCTGGAGCGCCCCCTGATGGGCATCTGTCTGTGCTCTCTGTCTCTCCCCCCTGCAGCCCTGGGCACAGAGCCTGCGTAGCGCTGGGCTGCTCGGCCCTCGTGGACCAATGCGCTGGGCCCTCAATCTCTACCCAGGCAGACCTTCCCCACGGGGGCACGCAGGACAAAGCAGCATGGAAAGGGAACCTTGGCTTGAAGCTGTCCCTGCTGAGCTCTGCCCCACAATTCCCTGGCTACCCCCAAGACAGCGGGAAGAATCCTTTTGGCTTCACATCCAGCTCCGATTCCATCTCTCCGTCCCCTGAGGGCTGAGTCGCGTGCAAGAGCCTGCCCCTTTCCAGGGCGGGGAAGCCGCAAGTGGAGGGGCCTGGCCTAGAGGTTCACAGTGACTGCCTAACTGCTGGGCTCCTGACCTGGCCCTGCCGGCAGCTCTAGCCCTAGAATATGAGTTGAAGCTTCAGCTTCTGGGCCAGCAGCCAGAACCGGCCCCTTGGAGAGCTGCCCTGAGATTGCCAGCCCTGGTCAGAGCAGTGGGGCTCAGGGAGAGCAGGGGCCGTTGGGGAACATTTCCTGCACGTCACTTAGTGGGTAGGGCACTTGGTATCTGCAGCCAGCTGCTCTTGCTGTCCAGTCAGACCTCGGATCCTCGCCTGTAGCATTGCGCACCTGGGGTTAACTGCCCACGGGACGAGCCTGGGTCTTGTATTGTAGGACGGGAACTAGGAGACTCCATTTGCCTTCTCTCACCTATTCATTGTTTGTTCTCCCTCAGTCACGGCCTCTCCCAACCCAGGGGTCCCAGTTGTTTCAATCTCTCCAGGAGGCTGATTGCATCCACCGCTCGGCTCTGGGCCCCGTCTGTCCTGCCGTATCTGCTGAGGAAGAGCAGCCAGGACTGAGCACAGCGCCCAGGGAAGGGTGATTTTCCTGACAGCCGTTTCACGCTTGCTTCTATCTCGTTCTCTAGCCAGCCTGAGGCTTGGTTTGCTGTGTCTGTGCTGCACGCGGAGCCGCTGCTCTGAGCTGGCGATGGTAATGCTCAGGGCCTTTCCCAAACGCTTTGCCCACGGTGCCCACGGTCAGGTTTATGGGGTTCCCTCCAGAGTACGTTCCCTGGCACTTGCTGACAGTGCAGCTTAGCTGCTCCTTCCTTGCTGCCTTCTCCAGGCTCAGCTAGCGAATCAGTCTGTATCCACTGCAAACGCCACCGCCCATCACAGCCTGGAGCCCTGCGGCACCCACCGTTAGCCATGGGCCACACTGAACATTCACCGTTAGTCCTGTGCTTTGTCTGGAACCGTAACTAGTTTCCTACCCTCCGCAAGGGCCTTTGACAGTCCAAATGAATGTCACCTTTTGGTGCCAGACCCAAAGCCTGCCAGGGCTGCACTCGGCCCAGTCCTCTCCCGTTACTCAGTGCCTGCGCAGCGCCATGGGGCAGGCAGGGGAGACGTGCTGAAGTCCAGTTGTGCCCAGCTGTGCCCAGTGCTACAGCATGGCTCAGAATGCTGCTTCCTGGAAGGTCTCCAGCCCTTGCTGCTGGGCATGGGGCAACCAGCCCAGCTCAGTGTCTGACCAGCCTCTACGCCCACCCCACACGCTTCCAGCTAGGGCTGGTTCCACTGCAAAGCTGGCAGCTTTAGGACACTGGTGCCCCAAACACAATAGACCCAGAATGCCAGGCCAGCGCCCACTCACGGGCCCCTTACCTCTGCCCCCAGGTGCCAGGAGGAGCTGCAGGAATAGACCTGGGTAATAGACAAACACCTGTCAGGGATGGTGCAGGAAATCTTAACGCTGCCTCAGCACAGGGCGCTGGACTCTGCCCTCGCAAGGTCTCGTCTCACCATGCGTTGCTGTGACACCTCCAAGGGTAGCAGCATGTGCCTCAGGCCCCCGCTGCCAGAGCCCTGACAGCACCACCTCTCCCCGGAGCCGCAGCCACACCCAGGGGCCTGACTGGTGACCTCCTGGCTGGTTTGCAACATCTGCCCAGAGCTGCAGGCTGCACCTGGAGAGGAAACGCTTGGGCACATACTGGCTGGAGAAGTGTCTCTGCCAGGCTGCAACAGGGTTTAACCCCACCACCCTGGCCCTTGTGCTTCATCTCTGCAGGGAGGAGAGTGACCTGGGCTGAGGTGGGCGGGGAGGTACTGCTCCACCAATGCTTTCCCACAGTGGCTACTGAAAGACCAGCAGCTGGGACTGACTGTTGGTGGCAGGTGGCCTGGGCTGGCTTTGCTCTCTGACGGGGAGGGAAGAGGTGCTGGCTCCCCGGGCTGAGGGAAGCCCCCTTACCCCGACTCGCTGCCGTGGTTTGAGAGGGGCCGGCAGGGAGTTGCTGGCCTGTTCACATTAGAAATTCCTCCGGTGCTGACAGCTCTGATTGCATTCCTGCGTGCCCGCCGGCCAGGACAGGGGCGTTCCTTGGCGCTGGTACTGCCAAGAGCGCGACGCTTCAGAGCGAGTAGCCAAGGCCCCGAAGGCGGCAGAGGGCAGTGAGAGGGGCTGGAAGCGCTCGTCTGAGGCAGGGACACCGTGAGATGGGGAGGGCAGGCAGTTAGTGCATGGTGCTGCACCTACCGTAGGGCAGCAGCTCCCTCCCCCTCGCTCGCTCCTGGGGAGCTGCACCCAGGCTCCTCCAGGCCTCGACCGCTGGTGCTGGCAGGAGGGCCAGGGTGACAAAACACAGCCTCTGAGTGTGTGGAGGTGCTAGTGGAGAGCCCTAGCGTCATGTTACCTGTAACCCCAGTGCTGCACCACCTGCACCCCCCTTATCCGGGGCTCGGCTCTCGGGGCCACGTGAGGGTTTCCTCCAGCTGCTCTCGCATTCTTAGGCTCCACATGGAAAAACAGCTCCTGGGCGACAGCTGGCAGGGGAGGCTGTTTGCACTACACAGCCCTGCTTGTTCTGCCCTGTGGCACCTCTCCCAGGATGCCTGGACGCAGCGCTGTGGCTGCCCCAAGGAGAATGCCAGGGCCTGTTTCCCTCCGATTTAGCCAACCGGGCTGCAGCTCTGGCGCGAGCTCCTGGCGCTACTTGCAGGACAGAAGCTCTTCTGCTGTGGACTCAGACAGCCTGACGTCAGCCAGTGCCCACATGCCAGTTTCTGCAGGGCAGCCCCCTGGGTGGTGGTGGGGGGGACGACGCTTGCTGGGGAACCATGCATGGCCTGGCACTAGCAGGGCATGCTCTCAGGCACTGCCACAGCCCCCAGCACCCGAGGGCTGAAGTTCCAACTCAGTGCCACGGGCTGCCCTGTGCTCAGCTTGCGAGGCCGATAGGTCTCGGGATGCCTGTAATGGGCACTTTCCCAGGGCATGACATTCACCCACCTCTCTTGGTGCCGCTTGCCTCCCAGGCGTACATGTGGTAACCCCAGAGCTCAGCACCCCACCCCTGCAGGTCCCCCGCTGCCCCGTGCTGCAGCTTACCCTGCGCTCCCTCCTTTGCAGCCGGCTTGGGAGTGACCATTCAGGGAGTGATGCAGGGCCCTGGGCCAGGCTTAAGGCAAGCAGAGCCTCCCCCCACTGCAAGTCTGTGCTTGGAGCAGGGCATGCCCCTCCTCGCACACAACCCCAGCAGGCAGGACAGCTGGCAGGGGCCCTGCCCCTTACCCTGAGGGGAGAATGACTCACCCCCCCTCGTCAGGCTTCTGCCTCCACCCCACGCCACCCCACCCCACCCCCGCCGCCCTGGATAACATCACTTTGGAAGTATGTGCTGCATTCTCCCACTTCCCATTAGCGGGGGGGGGGGCATTGCTGCAGCCTCCGGCCCCCGAGCTCCCTGCTACTGGAATTACTGATCCAGCATGAAACCGCAGCGGACGGGCTCCCGCTCCCTTTGGAAAGAACCGCACGCTTGGCTGACGTCAGCGCTCTGATTACATTCCCGTCTGCCTCACGCCGCATCACCTTCCAGCACAGACGCCAGCTGGGGGGCAGGCTGGCGCTAGGCTGTGTGCCGGGATGGCACCACAGAGCTATCAGGAGTGGGAATTCCCTGGCACCACCTGGTCCCAGCCTGACCCGGGCCCTGACCCGGACTCTCCCAGCTCCCCGTGGCGACACCGGCCTCCAGGTCATGGCTGGAAAGAGCCGGAGCGACAGGCTGGACCTTGCCCATGGGCACACAGCGCATCCCTGGCACTGCCAAGCTGGATCCCAGCTGTCCTGTGGCCAGGCCCCTCCGCTAACCACACTGCCGCCTGGCTGCTAGCCGCAGGCTGGCCTTTTCCTCACACGGCAGCTAACCCCCCTGTGCTGGGCCCAGCTAGAGGGGCTTGCGGCTACAGCCCAGCTCATGGGGAGGGGACCCTAGGGCCCCAGGCAGCCCCGTTTCACATGTCTCGCTGGTGGGGCAGGTAGGGACCAGCGCTCCAGCCTCTGGGCCTGCTCAGAGGGAACATTCAGCTACTCTTGGGCAGCCAGCCCTGACGCTTCCTCCCCTCCACACTTCTCACCAGGGCCCTTCCCCACCTCACCTGGCCCCTCCCCAGCCCTTGACTCTGGCCAACATCCAACCAACCAGGGAGGGGTGGAGGAAAAAACACCAGGCGAAGGTGTAGAAAACCTGTTTCTTATATGAAAACATCTAGAAAACGGTGGGACCCGGTGCTCTGGGAAGCGGCTCGTCGGGCTGGGGAAGGCGGGGGGGGGAGCCCTGGGCTGGGAGGCAGGTACCCAGGTGGGTCGGTGCTCAGCACTTGCTCAGCCCAGGGTCCTGGGTCTGTCATTTACGAGCAGGTTGGTGCGTCCTAGCACGATGACAACACTCAGTGTGACACCCCCCCGCCCCGAGCCCAGCCTCCCGCCTCCCTTGGATCCTTCAGGTCCCCTGCACTCAGCGTGCAGCTGCCTGGGTGAGGTAGGACCCATCCCCAAGTCCCTCCCTGGAGGGATGGGGGGTTTCTGTGTTAAATGGGGAAGTATCAACGCAGGGGAGCGTGTCCTTCCTCCCCCCACAGCCCCAGCTGCGATCCCGCCTGCCCTGGCCTCCTCCTTA